GGCATATTAGAAAAGAAGGGGGCAGGGCATGCGAGGGGTTTGTGTTGGTTGGCAAGCCAACAACTGGCCGACACCTATTTGCTGACCCTGCCCCCAAACACTCTGCCTGAGGGTTGGCACAAGCGTGCAACACGCTGGCGTAGCGTGACTTCTAGGCGGCAACCACAGCAAACCTTTTGTCAAGCAGCAAGCTCAAAAAACTCTCGTGACCCACTCGCAGAGCAACACAACCATAGCTCAGCATGGTTGCAACAAGGCCCAATGTTGCAAGGAAAGAGCGGGCGAACCAAGTCAAGCACTGCAATGGCACAGGATCACAAGCGCCCTTGGCAATCAAACTTCGTCGACCAAATAGATCGATCGCTTGAGTCACGGACTATTTAACCAAGATCAAGACTGCGCCGCACGCTAACACAGGTCCCTCTTTCGTCTTTGTTGCGCAAGCGCGCACCCCACAAAAAAGCAGTAAGGCTTTCAGTGTGTACTTTTTTCGACAGCATTTAGCTAGGTTCTTGCGCCTGCTTGGCAGGCGACCATTCACCAAACTCTCACGGCAAATCCGAGAACGCATCAGCAACCATCTTGCGGATGGCGCTTTTCTCGGCCTTCAACAAACTCGCCCATTTGCCATCGGCCACGTCGCTCGCGTCTTTTGCGTTTTGCACTTCCACCTGCCACACGCGCCGGCGCACGGTCCTGCCTGGGCAAGCCAGTAGGTTGCCTTGAGCAGACTGTGGAGGGAAGAGTGAAGAGCATCTTTGTTTTCGGACGGAACCTGCAACGTAATTTCCTGCGCCGAGCAAGATAAACAAACACAAGCCCCCTGCAGCAACACCAGACCTGGTCAACATTTTCTGCAGCATCACGGAAGAGCACGGACTTCAAGAAGTTTGGAAGCAGCTCAGCCCGGTCGGAGGACGCGTGCGCGTAATTGACAAGAAGAGCAAGACAACACACACAAAAGCGAAGCATTTTCTTGCAAAACTGTCTGCGCCAAGCACTCACAGTCTCCACGCGCGGTGGTAGAAGAGGCGCCCGACCAGCCCCAACGTTCAATCAGCAAGGAACACCACGATTTCAGGCTCATGGCTGCGCAGCTTTCAATTCTCTTTGCGCGTGCATCACAAGCAGCTCTGACAGCGCTGGCTGCCAAATGGTTCCAACCACCAACATCAGAAGCGAAGTGGGCCGTTCTCAACCCCCTGCTTGCTCGCTAGCTCGCCTGTCGCCGCTGCGTGCGCGCCGTGGCTGGCGACACCTGTGGTTGACGCGCCGCCCAAACTGCCCGACGCAAACGGCCGGGCTGGGCTCCGCCGCAGAGCACCACTCAGGGCGCCTTCTCCGCAAAAGCACACCTCCGAGCAAGAGTCAACATTTTCTAAACAGACAGCCCGCGCCCAACAAGCGCGCCTCGCAAGCTACCTCAAAGTCCTTCTTCTCTGATTCGCTGAACTCGAAGATGTAGGCGTCGTCAGAACAAGGACCGTCGTAACGCAAGGCTTTGCAGGCAGCGCGGCCTTCTTCCCAGCCCTGGCAGGAACAAACGCCAACATCCATGAGATAGCCTTGAAATCGATCGCTCTTGCTTGCGGGCATCTTAAACTGTAATCTTTCTGGCACCCCCGACAAAAGCCTGTCGCAGACACCTGCTTGCCACACCCAATGCACAACTCCAGCATTCATGAGTTGGGCGGTCCTTGCTCGCCACAGCCTCTTCCTCGATTAACTCTCTGTGCTGCAAGACAAAACTCATTGCTTCCCATAGAAATTTGTTCCAGTTCCAGAACCCCGCCAGATCTGAAACCTGCTTGACTGCATCGCGTTGCATGGCAGCGCGCCCATCCTTGTAAGATGGTATCTCTTGCGCTTGCTTCTTGTAAATGTCTCCAGCTGCTTTGGCGCTGCTTGCTAGCTCCTCTCTACATCAGTTCCACAAAACCCAGTGTAGCGAAGGCATTATTTTCTGTCCTCTACATCATCCATGGAAGGCTCTGAGCTGTGGGCAAGCAGAGCGTCGCAGACACAAACAAAACAAGCAAGCAAGCGAAACGCAGCTTGCGCCATGGTCGGCTACCGTCACGCTCTGTGAATTGGCGCAGGCAAACACGCTGCAAACCACGCAAATCACGAATCGGAAAAAACTTCGCAACAGGAGGCCGGCAAACCGCAGCACTGCAAACTGCAAAACTTCACAAGAAGCTTGCTGCAACCCCAACACCTCTCCTCCACTTTCAGCCACTGGGCCGCAGCGCTTCCTCTGCCAAGCGTCTCAACTGCCACACGCGCTTTCCACACCTTTGATGGCCGCGGCAGTGTCAGAAGTCACGCTCTGCAAGGCGGCAAGCGTCTGCGCCATCTCCTCTGCCTGCTGCGCGTACGCCTGCTCAACTTGCACTCGAACGGCAGCGTAGTCGGCAGCAGCAGCTCCCACGACGCCCTGACAGCTCAACACCAAAAGCACAAGCACGCGAACACACATACCGCCTGCAACCCCAGCACCGGGCACGCAAACCACACCACTCGTCTCTGAGCTGGAAAGGCAAGCGGCAAACTACCAAACTTTGCAACTTTCTTGTCAGGGCAACAAAGCTCACGTTAACCCCCGCAGAGGCAGTTGAGCAGTGTTCTAAACCCAGTTGCAGCCCAAGAGAGGTATCAAATCCCTTCCGCGGAACGAAAGGAGGTTTGAAGAAGAAATCGCTTCCGCGTCGCTTCCGCGGATTGAAGTTCGTTTTCGCTTCCGCGCGTGAAGGAAAGAAAGCTACAATTTCTTGCTTTCGTGACTGAATCGTAGCCCTTCCGCGAAGCTTCCGCAAGTGCATAAACGAGAAACCCCTTCCGCGAACCTTGCGCGGCGCTTCCGCGACCTAGGAAAAGTCAACATTCGAAATCGATACTTCCTCCCGAATACTACTGCCAAGCGCATGGGTTTTAGAACGTCCGTCGCTCAGTTGTCGCCACCGCCGGCCACTGGGCCAGGCGCTGCTTCCCCCGCCCAAGCGTCTCAACTGCCACACGCGCTCTCTACACCCTTGATGGCCGCGGCAGTGTCAGAACTCACGCTCTGCAAGGTGGCAAGCATCTGCGCCATCTCCTCTGCCTGCTGCGCATACACCTGCTCGACTTGCACTTGAACGGCAGAGTAGTCGGCAGCAGCAGTTCCCAGGACGCCCTGACAGCTCAACATCAAAAGCACAAGCACGCGAACACACATGCCGGCTGCAACACCCCGGCTGAGATCGATCAGAACTCGTACAACGCTGTACGTGGGACACGTCCAAACCTTGTCTCGGAAAGGCAAGGGGCAAACTGCTAAACTTTGCGACTTTCTTGGGCAACAATCAAATGTTGAGTCACGGCCAAAAAACGCCTCTCTCATTCCCCAGCCACTTTCAGCCACTGGGCCGCAGCGCTTCCTCTGCCAAGCGTCTCAACTGCCACACGCGCTTTCCACACCTTTGATGGCCGCGGCAGTGTCAGAAGTCACGCTCTGCAAGGCGGCAAGCGTCTGCGCCATCTCCTCTGCCTGCTGCGCGTACGCCTGCTCGACTTGCACTCGAACGGCAGCATAGTCGGCAGCAGCAGCTCCTACGACGCCCTGACAGCTCAACATCAAAAGCACAAGCACGCGAACGCACATGCCGGCTGCAACAACCCAGCAGCGCTGAGATCGATCAGAACTCGTTGCGATCGTTGCGAGCTGGAAAGGCAAGCGGCAAACTCCTAAACTTTGCGACTTTCTTGTCAGGCCAACAATCAGAGTTCACGCTCACCCCGCATCCGGTGTTGAGTCACGTCATTCGCCTTGCACTGCAAGAAAAAACAGGCCGAAAGATGCCGGTCGCAACCACGCGTCTCAAACTCCCCAGCCACTTTCAGCCACTGGGCTGCAGCGCTTCCTCTGCAGCATCTCAACTGCCACACGCGCTCTCCACACCTTTGATGGCCGCGGCAGTGTCAGAACTTACGCTCTGCAAGGTGGCAAGCGTCTGCGCCATCTCCTCTGCCTGCTGCGCGTACGCCTGCTCGACTTGCGCTCGAACGGCAGGATAGTCAGCGCCAGCGGCAGCTCCTGCAGCGCCCCGGCAGCTCAACACCAAAAGCACAACCACGTGAACAGACTTCATACCACGTGCGGCTGAGATCGCTCAAAACTTGCTGCTGCCCGGCACACTGTAGGCGGCGCACCATGACTGACAAGTCTCGGACGCCCAAGCTTTCTTCTCCGCGCGGAGCAAGCAGATTTAGGGAGCACGGATTGTTGTCTGCAGGCCGAAAGATGCCCATCGCAACCACACATGTCTCTCATTCCTCAGCCACTTTCAGCCACTGGGCTGCAGCGCTTCCCCTGCCAAGCGTCTCAACTGCCACACGCGCTCTCCACACCTTTGATGGCCGCGGCAGTGTCAGAAGTCACGCTCTGCAAGGTGGCAAGCGTCTGCGCCATCTCCTCTGCCTGCTGCGCGTACGCCTGCTCGACTTGTGCTCGAACGGCAGGATAGTCAGCGCCAGCGGCAGCTCCTGCAGCGCCCCGGCAGCTCAACACCAAAAGCACAACCACGTGAACAGACTTCATACCACGCGCGGCTGAGATCGCTCAAAACTTGCTGCTGCCCGGCACACTGTAGGCGGCGCACCATGACTGACAAGTCTCGGACGCCCAATCTTTCTTCTCTGACTTGAAAACTAGACGGCGAAAACTTGCCGACATCTTGCCGAGCAGCAAGTACACCCTTCCTAGCAGCGCAACACCAAAAGCACAATGACGCGAACACACTTCATAGATCGATCAGAACTTTCTCGTTGCGCAAGCCGCACGCCCAAACTCCTTCTCTGATTTGAAAACTAGGTAAAAAGCCGCAACCAACCCACACCTGCAAGCAAGCCCCAAAACGCAAGCTTGAATAGCAGACGTTTGCTACAATTACAAGCGAACTGCAAAAACAAGTCTTGCGACTGATTTCGCTGCGCAACCGTGAAGTTGCGCTGGCGTTTGGGGCGGTTCCACGCAATACGCTATCGAGGCAGATCTTGGCTGCAACCTCCTTCTTCCAAGCCGCTGGCTTACAACCCTCCATGCAACATACAGAACTGGGTTGTAGCCTGACACGTGACAACGCGAGCAACAGTAGCTCCAGACATGAAGCAAGCCTTCACTGCTTCCCAAATCTGTGTGCTGGCTGTGTTTATTTTGCTGTAAACATTGTACCTGCCACCACGTTTCCTCTCAGCTACGAGAAGACTGCACGGGCGCAGCTTCTTGCGGGAAAATACAAATCGGCCTTGGCAGCGCTAATCTCAAGCGCTGCGACACTGCAACACTGCAAGCGCGTAAGCTCCAAGCGGGATGCCCTGCAGCACGCAGAAGCTCACCTGCGGGTTCAAGCCGCGAGACGCAAATTGACCCTTTGCGACGGCGGCGTTGCCGTAAGGATGTGCAAGCATCCGCAGAGCAGCGTAATCAGCACAGCTGGCGCGAGACAAAACGGCACCAAACGCTCTTGCTGCACTACATGTTGAACGTGCCCATTATGTGCACCTGACGCGACAACTTAATGTAGAAAGCTGGCGCAGCCAACATGGGCAGAACGCACCACGACGTTGACCACTTGGTACACAGTCTGCCAACAACATCGCTTCTTGCCTTGTCTACCATAAGGACAGACAAGGTAGACCTGCAGCGCCACCCGCCCATAGTTGCACACGTTTGCCAAAAAGCTCTTCAGCTTGCACCTGGCCGAAAGAAAACGGGCACGATCAGCTGCGCTTGCGCAAATCACAACCACGTCCAACACCGGCGCTTTTGTTTGCCCAAGGCGCGCAGTTGTGGAGCTGCAGGCTACGTCCGACAAGAGGTCAGCGAGGCCAAGGTTTGAGCGATGGCCACCCAAAGTTTTTGCGCCGGATCGCACGAGGAAGGCTCCGGTGATGTTGCCTTGGCCATAGTCAGCCTTGGCCTCGTCCAAAAACTGCGATATGTGGTTCCCAAACGCTACAAGCGCTGCCTTGGCTCAAGTCACGCCACACGCTTCGAAAAGATAAAGCGGCAAGCAAAAAAACTGAAAAGGACGGGGCGCGTCCAGACCATGGCCAGCGTAGTCTTTGTTGAAGTTATCCAGCCCAGTCACACACACGTGGCCGCAGGATTGCTGGAGTTCACGGACAGCAGCTTGGTAGAGATCTGCAGACAAAGGTACTTGTGGGACGGCGCTCGCGTTTCTGTCTTGGCCAGCAGGACCAACTACGGCATCAGCAAAACAAGCTACAAAGGCAAAGCCAACAACCGCCTTCATGCGTGGCAAGAGCTGGGCACAAAATTTGGAAAGCCCCCTGGGCCGTCTGACATGCACAATTTACAGCACTCCGCCACACCTTGCTTGCCTCCTTCTCAACACCACTGGCGCGCGCGGGGCAGTCTGTCGCTCTGTCTGCCCTTGGGTCTACGGGCTAGTTTCGCTGCTTGCTGTTGTTTGGGGCGAGCGCGCTAGACAGCAAAACCAAACCGCAAGGACCAACAACTTCAATCAAGGCAACCCCAGCGCACACCTCTTTTCTCTAACTTAGAGGGGGAGCCAAAACTAGGCAGTGCTCCACACCAACAAGGACAGGTCAACACAGCGCTAATCAAAGTCACGCAACTGCCGCCACACCAAAACCCTTTTTTTCCTTGACAATTCAAGGGGCGCTTCCCACCCAGCGCTTGTTCTGCGCTGAATCATGGCACGGTCCGCCGAACAGAGTCGCGCAAGGAGTTGGACTCCCGACACTAGGCTGCGCTACCGTAGAAGGCGCGACGCGCAAGGCAAGCCATGAAGAATCTGCGCTGAGTCACAAGCAAAGTTAGGTTTTTCTTGCGGCTTGGGCAAGAGAGCTGCTCCCGTGCGCTGGCATTGGTTACTTAAGGGCAGCGGGGCCGACACCCGACTGCAATTGCAGCAGGGTGTTGTCTGGCGAGTACCTTGCAAAGCACGGCTGCAAGCAACTAACACGCGCAGCAACGCAAAAACAGACACGCGGCTTGGCCGGGGCAACACAATGTTCATGCGCCCGTATGAGCCTGTGTCCTGGGCGACAAAGCCCAACAGCCAAAGTGTTTCGCACGGCGCGCGCCTTGTCTGACAGTGAGGACACCTTGGCGCAACACCGTTCGGCTCTTGTGGTGGCCAAGCAGGCTGCATTGTCTCAGGCAAACTTCCAAACTTGCGCCAAGCTGCGACTGGGTACCCAGTGAGCTGCGTCACCAGGGAGCCAGCCAATCTTTGCAGGCGAGCAGAAGACCTGCACAAGCAAGAAGAGGTCCTGCGCTCAACTGAGCGCGGAGGCTTGCGTTGGTCTTTTCATGAGAAGCAAAGCAGCAAACTGAACTCCGGAAAACCTCAGCAAGCAACTGCAACCCTCTGCCCCCCAAACAACACTGCACAGCTGCACACTTCATTACGATCTTCGCGTTTGGTTGCGAAGACAAAGCGAGAAGTCGGGCCGCGGCTGCCTGAAAGTTGGCAACACTCAAGCACTGCTTTCCCAGCTGTCAGATCCAGCCTCAGCCTTAGCCCCGCCGCTTTGCAAGCGCGGCACCAAGGGCGCAATGTCTTGCGCCAGAGCCTAGCGACCATAAGACCAGGAGCTCAGATTTGCGGGATTGCGGCAGCACCTTCAAGTGCGACGCTTCTGACTTCACATCAAGCAATAGTCCTTGCGCAACACACCACATTGGCTGGCACGCAAGTGTGTCTGCCAAGCTCAACCGCTGGCAGCTTGAATGATGTCATCTGCTGGGCCAGCCACGTTGCTCTTGCGCAAAGCGCCCGCGGGCAAAGACAAATTCAGGAGAAGCAACACACACACTGCACTGTTGCGCATGCTTGCCAAATTTCCTGGCACCAAACCACGTTGCTGCGCTGAGACGCTTGAACGGCACAACTTGTAAACACAAGCCCAACCCCTCTCACAGCAAACCTTCAGTCAGCTTACCCTAGCTAGCCCCGCACAAACAATGCGCTCGCATTGCTGCGACACGCAGATGGCTGCCAGTAGGCCACAAGCATGTGGCCAACAAGGGAGACAGCACAAAGCTACTCTCACAAAGCAAGCTATGACGCTGACGCCGCAACGTGCCCTTGTCTAGCAACAAAGTGTTCGCCGATCTTGCCACCGCAAGCGAGCTTGAACTCTTGCACAAACAAATCCTGTTGAGGCTTGCAGCGCGCTGTGAGCTTCCGCTGTTGCCGCACGTGGCCCCCTGCCCTGCACTGCGACCACGGCCGCTGGTTCTTGAGCCGTCACTGCAACATGAGAGAATTTCCAGGCGCTGCTGCCTTGCCTGTCTCAACTGTTCTGCCCGTCTGCAGTAAGCCTTTTGGCACACTGTTGTTGGCTGGGGGTGACCAGGAAAAGCCGCAGCGCGGGCCAATCCAAAAAGGCTTTGAACATGACTCAAAGTTGGCTGGCAACTATTAGGCGCGCTGCACGTGAGCTTTGCCTGTCCAAGACACCAAGGCGCCAGGCACACGACGCCTGGCAACTTGAACTTAGAAACCTTTTTCAACCACGCATTGTCAAACACTGTGGAAGACACCGCTGCATCGAAAGCGGCAAACTTCTGCCCGACTACAGCCTGAACACACAACACAAGCGCAAAGAACCCTTTTGACATGCTGTTTCCAACAACCGACCACACAGCGCACACATACACAGACTGTCACTGGAAAGTTGCGCGAGTGCGTGGAAGAGCGCAGGCTTGTCTTTCTACAACACGCAGGCTCTACATTGCTACGCACTTCGCTTGCAGCATGGCGCCGCCTGGGGCTGAAACCAAACTGCCAACGAAGTGCTCACCGAGCTGCGGCCGCAACAGTCTTCAAGACTTTGGCTGACTCTAGCAACACAGAATTTGCTTCTCCCACGCCAGGCCCAAAGCGTTCGCCAATCTTCTGCCCCAAGTTCACACCACTGGCAGACTGCCCCGCTGCTGCAAGCGAGAACTCCACTCGCGGCGAAAGGCCCTTCAAGCTCGAACTCTTGCAGGAGGCAAGCCTTGGCAGCAAGGCTTGCAGCCGCGCCATCAGCTTGCGTTGTCGCTCCACACTTGCCTTAAGAAGCGACCCCATGCTCTGCACAGCAACCACAGCTGCTGGGTCTTGAGCCGTCACCCGTCACTGCAACCAAGCGCTGCAGCCTCGCCGCAATCCGCTGCCTCAACGCGCTCCCCGGACAACATCAAGCACACACCACCTTGCTTCACCTGCCCGTCTGCAGTTACTTCCCAAGCGCCCTGCCCTGCAGCGCAAGTCCGAAACACGAGACCTCCAGAGCGCAAGCCCAAGCATTGTCCGCTCTGTGTCTTCAACTGCCCGTCTTCTGACAAGCTGAAAATCTCCTTGCCCTCTCCCGCAACCATCGCGCCTAGGCAAGCCTCAGCGCGCAAGCCTTTTGGCCCGGCCACGGCACACTGCTCCTCTCGGCTGGGCGCGCCGCTTACAAGCATGAAGGAGGCAGGCCCCGACAAGGCCGCAGCATGGGCCAAACCAAAATAGCCCCATGGCTTTGGCCCACGCATCAGAACCATCACAGCCTTTGCTGCAACAGGCCGGGCGAACATGACCGTCTCTTCAAAACTAGGCTCGGCGCGCGCAATGCGCCGCCAAGCCGCTGCTTCCTCAAAGTTGCCACCGTCGGCGCTTGTGAGCACCTTCACCTCTGCGGGCGCGTAGCTCCACCGAAGCTGCACACCTGAGATTTGCCGGCGTGAGTTGAACTCGCCTGTCCAAGACACCACGTCGCCAGGCGCATGATGCCTGGCAACACACAACGCTTCAACTAGACACCCCTTTCCCAACCACGTTGTCAATCCCGCCCAACGCTGCACCAATACCTGCGCAAAATCACAACACGTGCGAAGAAAAACATTGGCTACACGAAATCGCGCCCAGAAGACTCTGCGACTGCCAGCTCTGCTGCAAAAGACTTGCTGGAATACACGCTGGAAGACACCGCTGCATCGAAAGCGGCAAACTTCTGCCCAACTGCAGTCTGGGCGCACAACACAAGCGCAAAGAACCCCTTCGACATGCTGTTTTCAACAACCGACCACACAGCGCACACATACACAAACTGTCACTGGAAAGTTGCGCGAGTGCGTCGAAGAGCGCAAGCTTTGTCTTGCTGCAACACACAGGCTCTACACTGCTACGCACTTCTGCTGGCCACGTCGCTTGCAGCACGGCGCCGCCTGGGGCTGAAACCAAACTGCCAACGAAGTGCTCACCGAGCTGCGGCCGCAACAGTCTTCAAGACTTTGGCTGACTCTAGCAACACAGAATTTGCTTCTCCCACGCCAGGCCCAAAGCGTTCGCCAATCTTCTGCCCCAAGTTCACACCGCTGGCAGACTGCCCCGCTGCTGCAAGCGAGAACTCCACTCGCGGCGAAAGGCCCTTCAAGCTCGAACTCTTGCAGGAGGCAAGCCTTGGCAGCAAGGCTTGCAGCCGCGCCATCAGCTTGCGTTGTCGCTCCACACTTGCCTTAAGAAGCGACCCCATGCTCTGCACAGCAACCACAGCTGCTGGGTCTTGAGCCGTCACTGCAACCTCAAAGAACTTGTCACTTCCAAGCGCTGCAGCCTCCCCGCAATCCACTGCCTCAACGCGCTCCCCGGACAACATCAAGCACACACCACCTTGCTTCACCTGCCCGTCTGCAGTTACTTCCCACGCGCCCTGCCCTGCAGCGCAAGTCCGAAACACGAGACCTCCAGAGCGCAAGCCCAAGCATTGTCCGCTCTGTGTCTTCAACTGCCCGTCTTCTGACAAGCTGAAAATCTCCTTGCCCTCCCCCGCAACCATCGCGCCTAGGCAAGCCTCAGCGCGCAAGCCTTTTGGCCCGGCCACGGCACACTGCTCCTCTCGGCTGGGCGCGCCGCTTACAAGCATGAAGGAGGCAGGCCCCGACAAGGCCGCAGCATGGGCCAAACCAAAATAGCCCCATGGCTTTGGCCCACGCATCAGAACCATCACAGCCTTTGCTGCAACAGGCCGGGCAAACATGACCGTCTCTTCAAAACTAGGCTCGGCGCGCGCAATGCGCCGCCAAGCAGCTGCTTCCTCAAAGTTGCCACCGTCGGCGCTTGTGAGCACCTTCACCTCTGCGGGCGCGTAGCTCCACCGAAGCTGCACGCCTGAGATTTGCCGGCGTGAGTTGAACTCGCCTGTCCAAGACACCACGTCGCCAGGCGCATGATGCCTGGCAACACACAACGCTTCAACTAGACACCCCTTTCCCAAGCACATCGTCAGTCTCGCCCAACGCTGCACCAATACCTGCGCCAAATCACAACACGTTGCGAAGAAAAACATAGGCAACGTGAAATCGCGCCCAGAAGACTCTGCGACTGCCAGCTCTGCTGCAAAAGACTTGCTGGAATACACGCTGGAAGACACCGCTGCATCGAAAGCGGCAAACTTCTGCCCAACTGCAGTCTGGGCGCACAACACAAGCGCAAAGAACCCCTTCGACATGCTGTTTCAACAACCGACCACACAGCGCACACACACACAAACTGTCACTGGAAAGTTGCGCGAACGAGTCGAAGAGCGCAAGCTTTGTGCTGCAACACACAGGCTCTACACTGCTACGCACTTCTGCTGGTCACGTCGCTTGCAGCATGGCGCCGCCTGGGGCTGAAACCAAACTGCCAACGAAGTGCTCACCGAGCTGCGGCCGCAACAGTCTTCAAGACTTTGGCTGACTCTAGCAACACAGAATTTGCTTCTCCCACGCCAGGCCCAAAGCGTTCGCCAATCTTCTGCCCCAAGTTCACACCACTGGCAGACTGCCCCGCTGCTGCAAGCGAGAACTCCACTCGCGGCGAAAGGCCCTTCAAGCTCGAACTCTTGCAGGAGGCAAGCCTTGGCAGCAAGGCTTGCAGCCGCGCCATCAGCTTGCGTTGTCGCTCCACACTTGCCTTAAGAAGCGACCCCATGCTCTGCACAGCAACCACAGCTGCTGGGTCTTGAGCCGTCACTGCAACCTGAAAGAACTTGTCACTTCCAAGCGCTGCAGCCTCGCCGCAATCCACTGCCTCAACGCGCTCCCCGGACAACATCAAGCACACACCACCTTGCTTCACCTGCCCGTCTGCAGTTACTTCCCAAGCGCCCTGCCCTGCAGCGCAAGTCCGAAACACGAGACCTCCAGAGCGCAAGCCCAAGCATTGTCCGCCCTGTGTCTTCAACTGCCCGTCTTCTGACAAGCTGAAAATCTCCTTGCCCTCCCCCGCAACCATCGCGCCTAGGCAAGCCTCAGCGCGCAAGCCTTTTGGCCCGGCCACGGCACACTGCTCCTCTCGGCTGGGCGCGCCGCTTACAAGCATGAAGGAGGCAGACCCCGACAAGGCCGCAGCATGGGCCAAACCAAAATAGCCCCATGGCTTTGGCCCTCGCATCAGAACCATCACAGCCTTTGCTGCAACAGGCCGGGCGAACATGACCGTCTCTTCAAAACTAGGCTCGGCTCGCGCAATGCGCCGCCAAGCCGCTGCTTCCTCAAAGTTGCCACCGTCGGCGCTGGTGAGCACCTTCACCTCTGCAGGCGCGTAGCTCCACCGAAGCTGCACACCTGAGATTTGCCGGCGTGAGTTGAACTCGCCTGTCCAAGACACCACGTCGCCAGGCGCATGATGCCTGGCAACACACAACGCTTCAACTAGACACCCCTTTCCCAAGCACATCGTCAGTCTCGCCCAACGCTGCACCAATACCTGCGCCAAATCACAACACGTTGCGAAGAAAAACATAGGCAACGTGAAATCGCGCCCAGAAGACTCTGCGACTGCCAGCTCTGCTGCAAAAGACTTGCTGGAATACACGCTGGAAGAGACGGCTGCATCGAAAGCGGCAAACTTCTGCCCGACTACAGTCTGGGCGCACAACACAAGCGCAAAGAACCCCTTCGACATGCTGTTTTCAACAACCGACCACACAGCGCACACATACACAAACTGTCACTGGAAAGTTGCGCGAACGAGTCGAAGAGCGCAAGCTTTGTGCTGCAACACACAGGCTCTACACTGCTACGCACTTCTGCTGGTCACGTCGCTTGCAGCACGCCGCCTGGGGCTGAAACCAAACTGCCAACGAAGTGCTCACCGAGCTGCGGCCGCAACAGTCTTCAAGACTTTGGCTGACTCTAGCAACACAGAATTTGCTTCTCCCACGCCAGGCCCAAAGCGTTCGCCAATCTTCTGCCCCAAGTTCACACCACTGGCAGACTGCCCCGCTGCTGCAAGCGAGAACTCCACTCGCGGCGAAAGGCCCTTCAAGCTCGAACTCTTGCAGGAGGCAAGCCTTGGCAGCAAGGCTTGCAGCCGCGCCATCAGCTTGCGTTGTCGCTCCACACTTGCCTTAAGAAGCGACCCCATGCTCTGCACAGCAACCACAGCTGCTGGGTCTTGAGCCGTCACTGCAACCTGAAAGAACTTGTCACTTCCAAGCGCTGCAGCCTCGCCGCAATCCACTGCCTCAACGCGCTCCCCGGACAACATCAAGCACACACCACCTTGCTTCACCTGCCCGTCTGCAGTTACTTCCCAAGCGCCCTGCCCTGCAGCGCAAGTCCGAAACACGAGACCTCCAGATCGCAAGCCCAAGCATTGTCCGCCCTGTGTCTTCAACTGCCCGTCTTCTGACAAGCTGAAAATCTCCTTGCCCTCTCCCGCAACCATCGCGCTTAGGCAAGCCTCAGCACGCAAGCCTTTTGGCCCGGCCACGGCACACTGCTCCTCTCGGCTGGGCGCGCCGCTTACAAGCATGAAGGAGGCAGACCCCGACAAGGCCGCAGCATGGGCCAAACCAAAATAGCCCCATGGCTTTGGCCCGCGCATCAGAACCATCACAGCCTTTGCTGCAACAGGCCGGGCGAACATGACCGTCTCTTCAAAACTAGGCTCGGCTCGCGCAATGCGCCGCCAAGCCGCTGCTTCCTCAAAGTTGCCACCGTCGGCGCTGGTGAGCACCTTCACCTCTGCAGGCGCGTAGCTCCACCGAAGCTGCACACCTGAGATTTGCCGGCGTGAGTTGAACTCGCCTGTCCAAGACACCACGTCGCCAGGCGCATGATGCCTGGCAACACACAACGCTTCAACTGGACACCTCTTTTCCAAGCACATCGTCAGTCTCGCCCAACGCTGCACCAATACCTGCGCCAAATCACGCCCAACGTGAAATCGCGCAACGTGAAATCGCGCCCAGAAGACTCTGCGACTGCCAGCTCTGCTGCAAAAGACTTGCTGGAATACACGCTGGAAGACACCGCTGCATCGAAAGCGGCAAACTTCTGCCCGACTACAGTCTGGGCGCACAACACAAGCGCAAAGAACCCCTGCGACATGCTGTTTTCAACAACCGACCACACAGCGCACACATACACAAACTGTCACTGGAAAGTTGCGCGAGTGCGTGGAAGAGCGCAAGCTTGTCTTGCTGCAGGCGCTACAATGCTTCGCACTTCTGCTGGTCACGTCGCGTGCAGCATGGTTCATGAAGCTAGCACGCTTGCGGCCAACAGCCCACAAGTTGGGCCTACGCCCACAACCACAAATTGTAAACTGTTCACACACTTGGGCCACAAGAGAATGTTTAGGCCACGCGTGGGAACCATGCGAGGCTGCTCGCCAAACGCTTCACAATCAATCAACCTCCAACAAGCTTAGCTGCCGCGCGCGCCGAGCCCGGCAAGCGCTTTGGCCACAATGGCTCGAATTTGCTTTTGCTCTGCGTCGAGCATTTTTCTCTGCGACTGCCCCATGTCGTCCAAGCTTGCAGCTTCCACTGCTCTTTCGTTCTGTGTCAAACAGAGCAAGCACACAGCGTTCACGCACGTTCATGCATGTGGCTGGCCTGCATCAGCGCGTCAATTTCCTTGGCCGGCGCTCACGGCTGTTCCGGACAAGGCACACGCAGTCTCTCACCCGTCTGGACTCGTCGGCGTTCTCCTGCGGCGGCGCAATGTTCAGCGTGAAGTCAGCGCTTCCAACCACGTCGCCCATCAGGGCTGATTTGATTCCTGAGCAAGTGGCTTGTTCGCCAGTGGAGCGAGCATAGTCAGTGGCCTGGCGGTACAATTGCCACTGCCACACCAGCAGGCGCGCACAGCAAGAAAATAAGAGCGGTTGGAAATCTTACCATCTTTGCTAGTCAACACCGAGTCACAAGCACGTCGTCAGACTGCTGTCAATGCAGCTGCATTATTCGACCGCCACCGTTTCGGGCCGGTGTTGCTCGTTGCAATTTCTCATTCGCAAAAGGGAGACCTTGCAAAGAACGCTGGCAGACTGCGCTGGAGCTTGAGAAACAGACAGACCTGAGCAACTCAGCCTTGCTCTTCCGCGCAGACAAGAGTTCTGAAAAAGGAAGCAGTTTCTAGGCTTAGGATGAAAGTAAAAGAACAGAATGCAAGATGAAAAAGGAAAGACAAACAATCCAAAAGAGAAACAGAAACACAAACAAACAAAAGCAAAAACAAGAGGCCCCCCAGCGCTCCCAAACTAGCCCTTCTTGCAGTTGCACATTTGTCACGCGCCCAAGCGTGTTCTTTTCTCAAATTAAATGGCTGCCAGGGCAGACAGTCACAAAACAAGGAAACCCAGCCCAGCTCCCATAAACCTTCTGCAATCAACCACTTACCGCTCATGCCTTTGCAAGCTCCAGCTCAACCAAGGATCACCCTATCATGACCATGGGGTGTGTAGGAAACCTGTCAGCAGCCTCCTGGGGCATCGCTAACTGTCTCTGCCTCAGACCTGCATTGCGCTGCGCGCTGCCACAACTGTAAGCTTTGCTTCCTGGAAAAGGGCTTCCTTTTGCGTCGCGTCCAACTCTGAGCTGCTGCCAGTCTTAGCGGCCGCGCGGCGCAAGCCCGCAGAAGCGGACATGGACTGAAGAGACGCTGCGCGGCCTGATTTGCACGAAGGAATCAAGGGCAGAGCTTCTGCCAGCTCCACTACTGCAGCGGACAAAGCAGCGTCAGCGGACTCTAAAGCAGGCAGCTCCGATCGCAAGGCAGCGCCGGCGCCAGCATCGTAGGACTCCACAGCAACTGCAAAGTATTTGTCTCGAGCGTCCCCACTCTTTGCAGCTACGGCGCAGGACTCCAACACAGCCTGCATCGCTGGCCCCCGCACTTCCAAGGAACGCACACCGTACAGCTGCCGGCCGCCCAACGAGCCATGCACTGGGTGCGGCTTGGTCATTACAAGCTTTACCCCGCGCACAAGCGCTGTGCCTGGCAAGGGCACCTTCACGCGCTGCAGGGCGTTGGAGTCTGTTGAGAACACATCTGTCCAGCGACTTCCATCAGCGCTGACCTGCACTGAGAAGGTCGACGGCGCGTACTCGAAATCCACAACAAGCGCAGACACGCGCGCTGGCTCTCCCAAGTCAACAGATAAGGTTACAGGCCCCGGCTCGTCCAGCTTAGAAGCCCAAAAACTTGAGGCCACGCCGTCTACAGCAAGCACAGCCCCATGCCCGGAGTCCAGCGTTGAGCTTGCAACAACAGACGCCCCTGCTGCAGCATCGGCAACTTCAGGAGCAAGCCCTGTTTGGCTCAAGCACACACCGCCAGCACCAAGCTTCACTTGACCATTGCCTTGCAGCTCCCACTTGTCCTGCAAACCATCACACGCTGCAAGCGTCAAGACCTCGCCAGCAGCAGCACGGTCAACTGTAGCGCCCAAGCACTTACCAGAGCCAGCATTTGTTAGCGCGCCACCAGGCGTCAAGCTCCAAATTTCACGTCCGTCCATGGCAGCCACAGAGTCGCTGCAAGCTTCCAGATACGCAGCAGCGCCTGAACCGACAAGGCACATTTCCTGCGGCGAAGTAACTCCGCTGATCAGCATGAAGCTGGCAGGGGGCCCGGCGGCGGCCCGCGCAACAAGCGCAGAAGCAACACAAACACGCCACATGTTGTAAGTGAGCCAAAAGCGGTTGGCTGTCAAAGTCTGACTGAATTTGCTAGACTCAGCACACACACACACTCACTCAGCACAGAAACCTGCATACGTGATTGCGCGGGAGGTTCCGCGCGGAAGCACGGGCGACGTGAAGCCTGACAAAAAGAAAGGATATGTTGTTTTAAAAGAAAAATTGTGCGACCCAAGCATCTGATCCCCAACAAGTTGAGCTGCACAAGCACCCGACGCAAGACGCGTTGGGATCAACATTCACTTGCCGTACGCCTGCGCGCATGCCTGTTCGCGCGCCTGCGCGAAAGCCGGTACGCCCACGCACACACACGCGCGCAAACCCAAACGCCCCGCGCACGCGCACCCGTACGCCCGCGCGTTCGCCCGTGCGTGCACCCGTTCACCCGCACGTGCGCCGGCACGCACATGCACAAGCATTCAACGCTTCAAGACCTGAAACTCTTCAACTTGCCTGACCTGCGTCGCAAGCAACACTGAGTGGCTTCAGCAGCCTCCTGGGGCATTGCTGACTGTGTTTCTGCTTGCCTCAAACCTGCATTGCGCTGCGCGCTGCCACAACTGTGAGCTTTGCTTCCTGGAAAAGGGCTTCCTTCTGCGTCGCGTCCAACTCTGAGCTGCTGCCAGTCTTAGCGGCCGCGCGGCGCAAGCCCGCAGAGGCGGACATGGACTGTAGAGACGCTGCGCGGCCTGATTTGCACGAAGGAATCAAGGGCAGAGCTTCTGCCAGCTCCACTACTGCGGCGGACAAAGCAGCGTCAGCGGACTCTAAAGCAGGCAGCTCCGATCGCAAGGCAGCGCCGGCGCCAGCATCGTAGGACTCCACAGCAACTGCAAAGTATTTGTCTCGAGCGTCCCCACTCTTTGCAGCTACGGCGCAGGACTCCAACACAGCCTGCATTGCTGGCCCCCGCACTTCCAAGGAACGCACACCGTACAGCTGCCGGCCGCCCAACGAGCCATGCACTGGGTGCGGCTTGGTCATTACAAGCTTTACCCCACGCGCAAGCGCTGTGCCTGGCAAGGGCACCTTCACGCGCTGCAGGGCGTTGGAGTCTGTTGAGAACACATCTGTCCAGCGACTTCCATCAGCGCTGACCTCCACTGAGAAGGTAGACGGCGCGTACTCGAAATCCACAACAAGCGCAGACACGCGCGCTGGCTCTCCCAAGTCAACAGATAAGGTTACAGGCCCCGGCTCGTCCAGCTTAGAAGCCCAAAAACTTGAGGCCACGCCGTCTACAGCAAGCACAGCCCCATGCCCGGAGTCCAGCGTTGAGCTTGCAACAACAGACGCCCCTGCTGCGGCATCGGCAACTTGAGGAGCAAGCCCTGTTTGGCTCAAGCACACACCGCCAGCACCAAGCTTCACTTGACCATTGCCTTGCAGCTCCCACTTGTCCTGCAAACCATCACACGCTGCAAGCGTCAAGACCTCGCCAGCAGCAGCACGGTCAACTGTAGCGCCCAAGCACTTACCAGAGCCAGCATTCGTTAGCGCGCCACCAGGCGTCAAGCTCCAAATTTCACGTCCGTCCATGGCAGCCACAGAGTCGCTGCAAGCTTCCAGATACGCAGCAGCGCCTGAACCGACAAGGCACATTTCCTGCGGCGAAGTAACTCCGCTGATCAGCATGAAGCTGGCAGGGGGCCCGGCGGCGGCCCGTGCAACAAGCGCAGAAGCAACACAAACACGCCACATGTTGTAAGTGAGCCGAAAGCGGTTGGCTGTCAAAGTCTGACTGAATTTGCTAGACTCAGCACACACACTCACACAGCGCAGAAACCTGCATACGTGATTGCGCGGGAGGTTCCGCGCGGAAGCACGGGCGGCGTGAAGCCTGACAAAAAGAAAGGATATGTTTTTTCAAAAGAAAAATTGTGCGACCCAAGCATCTGATCCCCAACAAGTTGAGCTGCAAAAGCACACGACGCAAGACGCGTTGGGACCAACAGGGTTTCGCTCGCCGCACGCCTGCACGCATGCCTGTTCGCGCGCCTGCGCGGAAGCTGGCACGCCCGCGCACACACACGCGCGCAAACCCGCTTGCCGGCGCGCACGCCCGCGCACGCGCACCCGTACGCCCGCGCTGTCGCCCGTGCGTGCACCCGTTCACCCGCACGTGCGCCGGCACGCACATGCACAAGCATTCAACGCTTCAAGACCTGAAACTCTTCAACTTGCCTGACCTGCGTCGCAATCAACACTGAATGGCTTCAGCAGCCTCCTGGGGCATTGCTGACTGTGTTTCTGCTTGCCTCAAACCTGCATTGCGCTGCGCGCTGCCACAACTGTGAGCTTCGCTTCCTGGAAAAGGGCTTCCTTCTGCGTCGCGTCCAACTCTGAGCTGCTGCCAATCTTAGCGGCCGCGCGGCGCAAGCCCGCAGAAGCGGACATGGACTGTAGAGACGCTGCGCGGCCCGAGTTGCACGAAGGAATCAAGGGCAGAGCTTCTGCCAGCTCCACAACTGCGGCGGACAAAGCAGCGTCAGCGGACTCTAAAGCAGGCAGCTCCGATCGCAAGGCAGCGCCGGTGCCAGCATCGTAGGACTCCACAGCAACTGCAAAGTATTTGTCTCGAGCGTCCCCACTCTTTGCAGCTACGGCGCAGGAACCTCCAAACACAACACCAGCCTGCATTGGCTGGCCCCCCACTTCCCCCCCCACAAGGAACGCAACATCCGTATAGCTGGCCCCGGCGCCACCAACGAGCCACATGCACTGGGTGCGGCTTGGTCATTTTACCAGCTTTACCCACGCGGCAAGCGCTGTGCCTGCAAGGCCACCTTCACTCGGCTGCGGGGACGTTGGAGTCTGTTGAGAAAACACATCCTGTCCAGCGACTTTCCATCAGCGCTGACCTCCACTGAGAAGGTAGACGGGGCGCGTACTCGAAATTCCACAACAAAGCGCAGACACGCGCGCTGGCTCTCCCAAGTCAACAGATAAGGTTACAGGCCCCGGCTCGTCCAGCTTAGAAGCCCAAAAACTTGAGGCCACGCCGTCTACAGCAAGCACAGCCCCATGCCCGGAGTCCAGCGTTGAGCTTGCAACAACAGACGCCCCTGCTGCGGCATCGGCAACTTGAGGAGCAAGCCCTGTTTGGCTCAAGCACACACCGCCAGCACCAAGCTTCACTTGACCATTGCCTTGCAGCTCCCACTTGTCCTGCAAACCATCACACGCTGCAAGCGTCAAGACCTCGCCAGCAGCAGCACGGTCAACTGTAGCGCCCAAGCACTTACCAGAGCCAGCATTCGTTAGCGCGCCACCAGGCGTCAAGCTCCAAATTTCACGTCCGTCCATGGCAGCCACAGAGTCGCTGCAAGCTTCCAGATACGCAGCAGCGCCTGAACCGACAAGGCACATTTCCTGCGGCGAAGTAACTCCGCTGATCAGCATGAAGCTGGCAGGGGGCCCGGCGGCGGCCCGCGCAACAAGCGCAGAAGCAACACAAACACGCCACATGTTGTAAGTGAGCCAAAAGCGGTTGGCTGTCAAAGTCTAAGTCTGACTGAATTTGCTAGACTCAGCACACACACTCACACAGCGCAGAAACCAGGGCGGGTTGCGCGTGGACGCACGGGCGGCGCGACCAGCAAAATAGAGCCTGACAAAAAGAAAGGATGTGATTTTTAAAATTTGTGCGACCCAACGATGTGTTACACACTCTCCTATTAGCTTGCCTACAGCTGGTCAAAGCTGAACAGTCAAACTGCTCTCCTCAACAAGTTGCGCTGCAAGAGCACACAACGCAAGACGCGTTGGGATCACAACAGGGTTTCACGCTAGCCGTACGCCTGTTCGCGCGCCTGCGCGGAAGCTGGTACGCCCACGCACACACACGCGCGCAAACCCGCTCGCCCGTACGCACGCCCACGCACCTGCACCTGTACGCCCGCACGTTCGCCCGTGCGTGCACCCGTTCACCCGCACGTGCGCCCGCACGCACACGCACAAGCATTCAATGCTTCAAGACCTGAAACTCTTCAACTCGCCTGACCTGCGTCGCAATCAACACTGAATGGCTTCAGCAGCCTCCTGGGGCATTGCTGACTGTGTTTCTGCTTGCCTCAAACCTGCATTGCGCTGCGCGCTGCCACAACTGTGAGCTTTGCTTCCTGGAAAAGGGCTTCCTTCTGCGTCGCGTCCAACTCTGAGCTGCTGCCAGTCTTAGCGGCCGCGCGGCGCAAGCCCGCAGAGGCGGACATGGACTGTAGAGACGCTGCGCGGCCTGATTTGCACGAAGGAATCAAGGGCAGAGCTTCTGCCAGCTCCACTACTGCGGCGGACAAAGCAGCGTCAGCGGACTCTAAAGCAGGCAGCTCCGATCGCAAGGCAGCGCCGGTGCCAGCATCGTAGGACTCCACAGCAACTGCAAAGTATTTGTCTCGAGCGTCCCCACTCTTTGCAGCTACGGCGCAGGACTCCAACACAGCCTGCATCGCTGGCCCCCGCACTTCCAAGGAACGCACGCCGTACAGCTGCCGGCCGCCCAACGAGCCATGCACTGGGTGCGGCTTGGTCATCACAAGCTTTACCCCGCGCGCAAGCGCTGTGCCTGGCAAGGGCACCTTCACGCGCTGCAGGGCGTTGGAGTCTGTTGAGAACACATCTGTCCAGCGACTTCCATCAGCGCTGACCTGCACTGAGAAGGTAGACGGCGCGTACTCGAAATCCACAACAAGCGCAGACACGTGCGCTGGCTCTCCCAAGTCAACAGCTAAGATCACAGGCCCCGGCTCGTCCAGCTTAGAGGCCCAAAAACTTGAGGCCACGCCGTCTACAGCAAGCACAGCCCCATGCCCAGAGTCCAGCGTTGAGCTTGCAACAACAGACGCCCCTGCTGCGGCATCGGCAACTTGAGGAGCCAGCCCTGTTTGGCTCAAGCACACACCGCCAGCACCAAGCTTCACTTGACCATTGCCTTGCAGCTCCCACTTGTCCTGCAAACCATCACACGCTGCAAGCGTCAAGACCTCGCCAGCAGCAGCACGGTCAACTGTAGCGCCCAAGCACTTACCAGAGCCAGCATTCGTTAGCGCGCCACCAGGCGTCAAGCTCCAAATTTCACGTCCGTCCATGGCAGCCACAGAGTCGCTGCAAGCGTCCAGATACGCAGCAGCGCCTGAACCGACAAGGCACATTTCCTGCGGCGAAGTAACTCCGCTGATCAGCATGAAGCTGGCAGGGGGCCCGGCGGCGGCCCGCGCAACAAGCGCAGAAGCAACACACACGCGCCACATGATTCAAGAGAGCCAGCGGGCTCAAACCCTGCTTCCTCTTCAACTGGCTGGCACAATGGATTGCCACGCGCCTGCGCTTACCACGCGCAACACGACGGGGCGCGCGGCCCTGAAGCTCATCCAGCTCCGCTCAGGCTGAGCATCTTGCGCACAGACACAAGCGCCGAGCGTCTTGCGGAGCGCAGAACAGCTTGAAGACAGATGTCAAGCCACTTGCGCGCAGCAGCTGGCAGAGCGCAACTTGCGCGCAGCAGCCTGGAACAATGCAGCTTGCGCAGACACTGCCATGTTTCCTCTCGTAGGACGATGAGATGGAGCTCTCATGCGAGCATACACATGACATTGAGCGTCGCCGCGCGCGGACACGCCCGCTTCATCAATGTAAGAACGCTTGGGGAAAAATGCTTTCGGGCCAATTGTCCTCCAGGGTGTTTTTTTTTTGCAGGGCTCCACGCCTTCTTATTTTTTGCCTTGGTTGCGCTCGTCTTGATGCGGTGGCCGTGAAGGCAGCAAAAAAGATTTAATTCGGCGGCTCAAGTTGTTCCAAGCGAATAGCGAGTGACTTCCGCACACGAAAGACACGTTCTGCGCATCTATGTTGACAGCGCTGCTTGCTAGCTTGGCAGCTGCTAAGTTTTCCGTCAGGACTGTCTGGCACGAATCCAGAAGTACAGTCCACACACTACGGTCCAGGGGGAATCAAAGCAGAAGACAACTTCCAAAGCCCATTCCGCAAGTAATAGAATCGACACGGAGCCACAGCGAGAGCGCTTTGACACGCACGAATTCGCACAGCGCCACAGCGAGAGCGCGTCGACACGCACGACCCCCGAGAGGGTTCATCCGCGCGCCGCAAAAACGGAAAAAACCTCGAGCTTTTGCAGCTCGACCACACCGATCCCCGCAGAGGGTCGTGCGGGCAGATCAGAAATTGCAAAAAACTTTGAGCTTTTGTACGCCGATCCGCGCAGAGGGTCGCAAACCCGATCGACGATCAAAATCCTGCCCCGGCGCCCTAGAAAGCTAAACTTAACTTACATAGCTGCTCAGGCCGAAGCGCTATGCACTTGGCCCTCGCAGAGGGTCGCGCGGGCAGATCAGAAATTGCAAAAAACCTTGAGTTTTTGTACCTTGACCACGCCGATCCGCGCAGAGCTGCGCAGCGTGCGCTCCCTTTTCCAATGGACAAGCGCACAAGTGGCGGGCCACCCGCTTGTCAAACCCTCACCAAGTTGGCTGCAGAGCTGCGCAAAGCAATGTTTGCGGCTAGCGCAGGTGGACTGCGCCGCCTACGCGCAAGCCCGACAAACCCGATCGATGATCAAAATCCTGGCTCTACGCTTGGCTCTCGGCTCTGCGCGCGCTTGGCTCTACGCGCTTGGCTCTACGCGCTTGACTCTACGCGCTTGGCTCTACGCGCTTGGCTCTACGCACTCGTCACAACAGCCAGCAGTCCTGCGCAAGTAGTTCACCTCTTTTTGCCGCTGGCGACCAGTACACCGGGCTGCCCCCAACCCAAGCCCGGCGCACCCTTAACCCTGACAACACAGCGGTCCTGGGCACTCATACAAGCAACTCAACACTACAAGCGCAAACGTTGCTGTTTTTGCGATGGACCACACACACACAGGAGTGTGAGAGGGGCGTGCGCAAGTGACTCGTACGCAAGTTGGTCCGAGAGCTCCGCGCACGGAAGAATCCTTCGCGATGCTTTCGGGAAAAAAGGCGCGCTGTCGCCTCGCCTACGCCTTGCCGTCTTGCGTGTTTGAGTTAGCTCCGGGCGCGCGCGCGGGCCTGCGCTTAAGCTCAATGTTTGTCGGTGTTGCCCGACGGTTTCCCCGCTAAGTTCCGCTGTCTGTCTCTTGGCGGCACGGCGGCACGCAAGCGCTTAGGCACAACCGCTTCCCGCTTCCAAGCAGCAATTGTTGACTCGCAACCCTAGCCCAGTCACGCTTCTTTCCTGCGCTTTTGAGCTTTGGGCTTGGCCAAGCATTTCAAGTCGAGCAAGAAGCTTCACTTCGCAAACTGCGCCCGCACGCGCGCAGCCGCACCGCGAACACCCTCTTGGATGATATCGTTCACGTTGTTTGCAAACACAAGGGACTCCTTGAGCATTGTTTCACGCAAGAGTTCCTCGCGCAAGCCACGCCGCTGTTGCATGTCCTGCGAGCCACCAACGCGTAAGCGCCGAACCTGATGAACAGGCGGTGTCCTCCACCATTGCAAAGGCGGTCGGGTATTTTTTGGCGCTTGGGGCAATATCGACATTGACCTAGAACTGGGCCAGTCTCTTCCCCCCGATTATCCGTGGCAGCGGCCTGCGGCGGCAGCTTGCGCTGGCTCGCTTGCAAAAAACTAGAACGGGCTCTGCCCTTGGCATCTCTCCGCAAGTAGCGGGCGCTGTAACTTGCAACTTGTTCTTCAAGAGCTAGGCAAGCAACACATCAACTCAGCGCAAGGATGGTTTGCCAGCGCGCCAGACTCAAGCTCGCGAGCTGCAAAATCGCTGAAGCGGCGCAGAGTTTCCTGGGCCTAGCACTCTGAAAGACAGGGCGACAAAAAAGGAGATTGGGCGCCTTGCCTTCTGCGCGCTTGAACGCAGCACTTCATCACGAGCATCTTCCAACAAACGAACATCTTCCTTGCCACCAAAACAAAACCCGCCAGAGAAAGCGGCACCCAGCAACTTGCCTTTATTTCCGCTGCGCTTGTCTCCACTTCCGGCCCTTGCACTTGGACCTTAACTGTCCTTGCGCTGCCTTGCGAGCCTTGACTGGCCAACGCACCGAGAAGCGGCTGCTGCACAAATGAGAACGGCCTTGCGGTGAGCGCTAAACAATGACACCACAAGGCGAGTTGCCCAGACCCGCCTTTTCAACGAGGACAAAGCCTCAACTACGCCCACAAGCCACGCGCAGCACTGACGCAGCACTAACTAACCGCTGGGTCATCCAACAAGGCTAAAACACGCCCAATTGCTGCCCCAACCTTGCGCGCGTTTGCGTCAGCAGCAAGAGAGGATAAGGTCGAGCTTGCAGCACTGGCCTTGCCCTTCGCCTCTCCTGCCACTGCTCACTGCAGAAAAATCAAACTTGCGCGCGTCGCATCTCACGCAAGGCTGCAGCTGAAATTGCTTTCTTGAACTGCACCAATGTGGCCTGCTTTGACAGAAGGGACATTCTCTTGTGAAACAAATCACCGCAGCCTTCTCCCGCTTTTCATCACGAGACTCGTGCTCCCGTACGAGAGCGCCAATCTACACGAAATGGACCGCAACCACCCCGCAAAACACGAGAGTGCAGCCGCACCTCAGGATGCGGCTGCAGCGGGGGGTCCTGTCGCATCTCAAAACCACACAGAAAGAAGTCCTCAAGCTTGCAGCAGATCTTGCCAAAGAAAGCCTCAGTCACGCTGCGCGCAAGCAACCCTCGTGTCTTTCTGGCACAACTTGCACACGCATCTCTGCGCCAAGGAACTGCAACCCAGCTTCTTCGTCCAAGCGCCCTCCTGACACGTCTGGCCTGCAGCTTGCTTGCTCAACGTCACTGCACAACACAAGCGGGCAGGGGCAGAGCACACCAAGCCACGCCAAGGGCAAGCTGAAGCCAACTCAGCAAAATGAGAAAAAGGCCAACCATGCTCCCAAAGCACTTTCACGCGCTCCAATCCAATCCCACACAACGCCCCTTCTCTAACAGGCTGGACAAGGTTGAAGATCAAGATGTGTTTC